AAAATAACGCCAGCGAATGAGGTGAGGGAAAATACTAGTTCTATTAAAATTAATTTAAAAATTGTACAAGCAGTTATTTTGAAGTGAAATATATTTACCGCTGGGTTTCTTGCTGGTTTTCCCCGGTACAGAGGTATTTTCCGAACCAGTGGTAAATAAAAAATTATTTACCACTGGTTCGATAAATATTATATAATAATCTAATATATAAAAATTAGTATTTGTTTGTTCGTATTTTATGCGCTGCCATACCGTTCAAATTGCAATAAATCTTTCTTAACATATTGCTTGCACTTCCGCAAAGGTTATAGGCATAGTGGAACCAAAGGTGGCGCTGTTGTAAATTCCAGATATCACCAATGCGAAGCCGAGGCAGATCGCTTGTATTGAATACAATCATTTTATTCTATTCTATACTATAAAACCACATACACACACATTCAAACGACAAATGGAGATTTAAGCCACCTGATTGTAAGTTGCTACTACACTATACCACAGAGTAAGGAGTAAGGACTTCCTTTACTCATGTGACTATACTATATAATACACATATACAATCTCTAATTATTATTAACGTCTATTGTTCGCATTACTTTTACTTTTAATACTTAGTTTATATGGATTAAAAATAGATGCATACATTTTTCTTTGCAGTAAAAAAAAACAATTAAAAATAACTAAACTTGAGAGATAATTTAAAAATTCAATTAGATAAAGGGTACCTTTGACGTGATGTAAGGGGAATATGTTAACTTTATTAAACATTAACCTTTGCACGTATCCCTTTGATCGATGAAAGGGACTGATGAACAAGTAGGTCGTATATAATTATTAAAAAACACTGAGCAGCATTATCCGAAGGAGGGGTATTAGATTTGCAATCACTAACCTACATACCCGTGTGAGTTTGGTAAAAACTTTTAAGCTTATCAACTGGAGTGTTTTTGGAGAGTACTATGTCAAACTGAGGACTTACAATCATTACCATCACAGTCATCAGAAGTCTACTGCTAAATGTACGCCTCCTCCACAGATTGCCTCATAGGCCTCAAGACAAAAGACAAACCAAAGAATACTATAAATCACAATAGAATGGCTGTCAAACTTATTTTATACGAGATTCGGCGTCGCCGGGAGCAATCATACAAGCAATTACGTCGTATTATCATCACTACTACAAACCCGATTCGTTGTTTTGAACAATTAATTTACACATTTTGGACTCTTTTGATTAATGTTCAAAATCATCATTAAAAATCGTTTAAATATTAATACATATTTATATGGAAATAGTGGGCAATTTGGTATTTTCTAAATAATTTGCATGCGAAATTTGGAAACGATTGTTACATCAAAACACATCTCGTGTTGACATTTATACGTGTGAATTGACATGTTAGTGGCTACACAGGCTCCGCCCACTCCCTCGTTCTATTATGTATGTATTATAGTATTCTATGCTATTAACATTTCATTCAGAATTTGAAGTATGTTTCATACAAAGAATACATTAATATATTTTAATTAAAACTTAATAGTCTATGCCTGCGCAAGGAAACTAATTTCTAAAACGGTATTTCATTAAAGCTAAGATTTTCAGTTAATCTTCGTTAATATTAAAATAATTACACGGCATTTTAAGGTAGTCGAGTTTATTGTTTTCTCCATCGTCAGTAATGATCGTCTTGGACCATTTTATTTGTTTGTACTTTAAAATTATTTAATGGTAATAACGCTTTCAATTATTCAAATAAACATGTACAAATTTACTATTTTTATTTTCATTTAAAGAGAGACTTTTTTACCAATATATACAACATAGACACAATAAAATTAAAGAGTGTACAGGGCTACCGAAATGATTAATATAACCTTGCGTAATGGACGATACACACGGTCAGTTCAACTAATCATTCCAACTGATCGGTTTAAACTAGGACTGTTGATACTTTTTAAAATATCGGATTTTCGATATATCGATAATTAAACTTATATATAAAACTCCGATATTGATATGTTTACAATTATCGATATATCGAAAATCAAGAGTCCTAGATTGAACTGATCAGTTGAACTGACCGTGTGTGTCGTCCATATGAGAACTTTAAGCCTTATGCCAATCGTGAACATGTTCGGAATGAGACCCGTCATTACATCCGATTTTATAGATCACAAATCCTCGTAAAAGCTCACTGATTCCTTTCAAGGATAATTTGTGAGCATATTAAAATATGAAAAAATATCCTTATTTCAATAGAGAAGATGACAGTGTGTACAATATGCTTGGAATCCTATAATTAAAACTTAACTATCTACTCTGATTTTTGGCTGCTACTTTGACTTAAGTACTAAAAAGTAAGCTATTATTTAGTGCGTTGTTAATTCAATATTAATTAAAACTACTTTTACGGATTTTATCGCGTTTACTTTCACTTTTAATTATTTTTAATTCCTGACGTTTCGGGTGCTTTCCAGCACCCATGGTCACGGGGGACTGAGGTGATCGTAGACAGAGAAACCTATAGATTAATGATTAGCGTGGCCTCTAGTGAGAAAGGACGATAACGCAGTTTTAGGTTATAAAATAATCTTTATGACTTTTAAACATATTTAGATAATATTTTTAATTGTTCTAAGAACTGAACTGAACAAGATTCACCAATCTTAAGCTCACAAAAAACTTTTTTTCCACTTAAACCTTATAAACTCCTTAGATCGATACGAACTGTCAAAGTTGTTTAGCAAAGTGTAGTTTGCTAAACAAAAAAAACCGGCAAGGAGAAAGGGACAAACAATCACACCGCTCTGTCTCATTTCTATGCAAGACGTATGCATAAATCTAACTTTTTCGTATGCGAATGCGAAGGAAGGTGTCAATTTGTCTATAGGTTTCTCTGTCTACGGAGGTGACTGACGTCCCGATGTCATTGTTAAACCCGGAGTACCTTCAGATTTTTTAATTATTGGTTATGGTCCGATCTATGCAAAATGAACTGATTATGTCCTGAGGTCTTACAGTGGTATGCTTGGGTTTAGTTTTAATTTTATTGATTATAGGGTCGCAAGCAGGTGGTACCAGTGTACCCTTCTCTATTGAAATTAGGATGTTTTTTTTTAATTTCAATAGCCTCACGTATCATCCTTGGTAGGAATCGATGTTCTTTCGCGAGGATTTGTGGTCTATCAAATCTGATGTAATGGTTTGGGCCGTCTAGGATATGAACAAAAACTGCAGACTTTCCGATAAAATCCGTAAAAGTAGTTTTAATCAATGTGTAGTGTTCGCGTAAATATAACAAATCATTAATTCAATATTAGTTTTAAAAAATACTACTCGGACTGGTTAACGAAGTTGCAACATTACTCCTAAATTTACAAAAATGTAAAATAAAAATAAAAAGTTACATGATTTTACAACAGATGTCGCATTTAAAAATGATTTAAATTACACTTTTTACAAATAAAAATTATTTTCTCAGGTGATTCTGTTGGTAACTAGTACTTTCAAAAGGGTGACAGACGAGCACACAGTACACCTGATGGTGAGTGGATGCTGTGATCCATAGACATCTATATTTACCCTCGATTAAGAATAAAAACGCAGATGCGTACACTCACCATACGGAACAGAAGCACTGAGCTGATATTTTACGCTGAAAAAAGTCTTGTGTGGTATCATATGGTAAATTCGCAGAAAGAGTGGTAGTGTTTCATAACTTTAGAACTCTTATTTAAAATATTATTCTTTTTTCCTCAGTGCCACGGAAGGAGTAATGTTTTTTGAGAGTATGTATGAATGTAATGTCTATTTCATTGGCACGCTCTGTAGCCTAAATGATTTGATGGATTCCTTAGGTTCGTTTTAATTGTGGGAGTGACATAGGCTATAATATTATATTTAAATATTGCATATGCAAATTAAAAAAGAAGGGAAAGTTTTTTTTCAGAAAACTATTTAGCGCAGTCAGTTTTCGTTAATTAATTCTATAGCTTAATAAACATATTAAGACTACTGAAGCCATAAGGGTGTCATTAATATATTTTTTAATAGTTTTAATAGTATAAGGGTGACAAACGAGCGCACAGTGCACCCGATGGCAAGTGGATACTGTGCTTAATAGACAAAAATTTAAACATTATGTGTTCATCTGTTGATTATATTGTCAAAGTTTACGATCTACATTCCTGATTATATTTACTAATTTATTTATTTACTTGTATAATGTCATTACTACTAACTACGGCTAACTTACTTAATTCATTACACTATTAACTACATTTATCCTCGATTAAGGATCAAAATGCAGATGCGTTGTCACCCCTGAGGACTGAGACAGAATGCCTCGTTTCCAGTAAAGAGGGTCTCCGGTTCTCTACACTCACCCTACGATACACAGCAGCATTAAGCTGCTATTTTACGCTGATATTTTGTAAGAGTGTGATCCTACCCCGGCAGAGCCGACCCATTCGAACTGCAACCACAATATATCTGCAGCAAGGTTCTAACACATCATGATGTAAATATAATTTAAAAAAACTATGATAATTATTAACAAAACTACTTATGCAATTGGTCAGCGTTCAGACAAATCTATAATTGGAAATCGCGTCTGTGTACGTAATTGGTAACAGATACTGGTGCTGCGTCACCTGCAAAACGTGAACTTAACGGTGTAATCGTAGTCATTTGAGAGAGAGTATCTGAAGGTACTGTGTATTATGGCTGCATTATGAATGGTCCGGCTCGAGCGAAGAAGAACCGTTAAAACCGAAAAATAAACCGAAAATAAATGATTTATTGCGTGTGGTTAGTGTATAGAACTGGATATCCTTTTCAGCGGGAATGAGACATCTTAGGTTCCAGTGCATTCACATTTTGATTGATTCTTAATCAAGGATAGATTAAGTTTATTTTAAGATTAAGATTACAGCATACACGTACTCTAATTATTAACTTAAAACTAAAGCGGAAATAATAAAAGACATCGTTGTTTCAGTGCGCCCCTCAGACCCATCAGCTGGCTTTGGACATGCAGCTGTCTATTTTAGCGGGTTTTGTCGTTTGGGCAATGCAGTCAGATTTGCCCATGTTAAGAGCACTTGTACCGACACTGCATGTGTGGACCGCTTTCTCAAGGTATAAGACAGCCAAAGAACATCGGCTTACAATGCTGGCTTATCACGGTGTCAGGTGTGTTGATATTATTTCACTCTTATAGTTTATATAGTCTTAATTATTTGTCACTTGAATAAAGTTACAGCCTATTAATGTCCCACGCCACGGTTGGATTGTATAGGTGTAGTCCATACAGGTGTAGAGTAACACTCATTTCTGAGTGTTATGAAGTAATCAAATTTTAATATATATATATATATATATATATATATATATATATATATATATATATATATATATATATATATATATATGGGTATATATCCTGAGTCATTCAACTAAACTTATCGCTACTCCTATATAGTATTCCCTACTTAGTTATGGTAGAGAACGTCATAGGGTTGAAATAATACTAGTTTTTGCGGAATTTATCGCGTATATTTAACTTTTTAAATACCCGACGTTTCGAACGCTTTACAGCACTCATGGTCACGGGCGGGACTGAGATGTTCAACGTCCATATGTCATAGTTAACCGCGGTTACCATAGATTAAAATTTAACTTTTGTTCCGATCTATACAGTAAGAACTTATGGTATCTTGAAGTCTTGCAGTTGTATGCATGGGTTGGGATTTAATTTTATTTATTATAGGATCCCAAGCAGATGGTAGCACCCAGCCATCTTCTCTATTGAAATTAGGAAGTTTTTTGATTTCAATAGCCTCGCGAATCATCCTTGGAAGGAATCGGTGTTCTTTTAGCGAGGATTTGCGGTCTATCAAATCTGATGTACTGACGGGGGCGATCCTGTACGTGTTCACAGACTGCAGACTTCTCGGAGCGTCGATTCTTCACATCAGCTATATGTTCTTTAACGCGGGTTTTTATTGATCTTTTAGTTTGTCCTATGTAGGAGAGACCACATTCACAATCAAGCTTGTACACTCCTGTATCTTGCAGAGGGACATTACACTTGCCTGATGGTAAAAACTGACCAATCTTCTTCAGCGGCTTGAAGTATGTTTTGATGGAAGCGTGCTTCAAGATGTAGCCAATCTTGTCAGTGACTCCTCTAACATATGGCAGTACAGCAGGTACACGCTCGACTGTGGCCGGCTTCACTCGTTCACTGTGACGTAGGCGCGGGACTCGAAGCTTGTTGTCATGCAAAACTTGCTTGACACGGTGGAGCTCGGCAGCCAGATGTTTACTGTCACAGATCCCTCGTGCTCTCTGAAACAAAGATTTACCCACGGTAGCTAACTGTGAAGGATGGTGGTGAGAATCACCGTTTAAATATCTATCTGTATGGGTCTTTTTTCTATACACAGTATGGCTCAAGTTGTTATCAGGATTCCGAATTACTAACATCTAGAAAATCTAAGGAATTGTTTGTTTGTGATCATGAGTGCTGTAAAGCGTTCGAAACGTCGGGTATTTAAAAAGTTAAATATACGCGATAAATTCCGTAAAAACTAGTATTATTTCAATGTGTAGTGTTCGCGTAAATATAAGAAATCATAACGTCATAGGGTATTTAGTCTTTGTACTTTTAGTGCAACAAAATCTAAATAAATAAATAACTTGTTAATAATATTTAAAGTATAAAATCATATTTATAATTACATTCGGTGAAACTGTTCAAAACTGTTCCGATATAACCTGCTTTATATTCAAACTAAACGATCACAAAGTCAGCCTTGATCGCTCCACGCCCACCGGAAGATACCGAGATGGCAGTAGATTGTGACTCAAACGTTGAACGATATGTTCAATACGTGTATGTGCGCACTTTGTCAGCTCTTTGTGTTTATATTGAAATGGATAATGTTATGTAACATTCTGTTTGTGTTTTTATGATGTTTTCTACGGGGAGGGTGACAAACAATCACAGAGTTTATCCACTTACCGTCAAGTATATATTAACTTCGAATAAAATTCCGAATATTTTTCTTGTGACAAACGAGCACACCATCTATCTGATGGTAAGTGGATGCTGTGCCCATAGACATCTACATTCACCCTCGATTAAAAATCAAAATGCAGATGCCTTGTTACTAGTGATGCAACGAATCCTCCTTTTATGAATACAAATACGAATATCAAACCTACTATTCGGCGAATACGAATAGCTCGCCATGGTACTAAGGAACTAATTTATTTGATGATGTTCTATTGTTCTAATAATTAAAGTGTACAACAGGCTTTTTTATTAAAAAGAACGTAAAATTTATAGATTTCTGGTTTTAGGTGATTTCTTTTTTCAGTCCGGGTGTTGCCAGCCGTTGAAAAAGCCTTTCTGAGGCTACTGTAAATGGTTACAGTTAAAAATATTTTTGGCCAAGTTTTTTCAGTCTTGGAAAATAGACATCTTCTCGCCAAATAAAAGGCCAATGGATCAGAGGCAAAATTTAAGATTTCATATTATTGGGTTTGCTAGAGATAATATTGTTGTTGATTATCTTATTATCTCTTTAGTAGCTTCTTAAAAATTGGTCAGAATATCAAAAATTTAGCTCATAAGAGCCCATTGCCCATTACCCATTTGACGACTCCGTGGCGCAGTGGCTTAGCAATGAGTGACTGCGCTGGGAGTCGCGGGTTCGAAGCCCGCACGGAACAAGTATTTGTATGGCCTACAAGTAATTGTTCCAGGTCTGGATGTTTGTCCTTGTACAATTTACGTTTGTAAACTGCCCCCACAATACAGGAGAAAATCCTAGAGTAGGGGTAACGTTTTAAAAAAAAATAAAAATAAGATTGCCCTGCAGTGATTTCACGACGTCAATTTGGTAGAGATGGTAAAACATCCAGAATCGCTATGCGTTGTTCATCTAATCTCTTCAACATCTGATATGTTGAGTCCCATCTAGTTTCAACATCTTGAAACAAAATAATTTGCCCCCTGCCCTTGTGTAGCCGTCGTTGCGGCTTAGGGCGTATGCATATGTCGTATTCTTTACGCGCCGCCGACGCGACGCGCGTTTTCAGTCTGCCAGTAATTAGTGTTGCGTACAAAAACATTAGTTATTAAATATTCGTGATTATTATTTGCCGAATATGAATATTCGGTAAATGTCTACTATTCAGCGAATACGAATATTCGTATGAATTCGTATTCGTTTTATCACTAGTTGTTACCCCTGAGGATTAAGATGGAATGCCTTGTTTCCAGTAAAAAGGTTATCCGGTTCTCTACACTTACCATATGAAAAATAGCAGCATTAATCTGCTATTTTACGCTGATGTTCTGTTAAAGCGTGGGCCTATTTGTGTTACAACCATAATATATTATAATATATAGAAGCATAAATAGAAATATATAGATGCAGCATGGCGTACGAAAATACAGATGTGTTGTCATCTAAGAACTAACCTGCTAATCAACTTGGTTACTAGTCACCTAGGCATATGTAGGTACTAAAATCCAAAGTTTGCACTGGTTTAGTGTTTTTCTTTTCAGAAATTAGACAATTCATAAACCATTATTCGCAAACCGTTTTATAACAGTTTTGTTATATACAACATATAAAAATACGTATATTTTAATATTTATGAAAAACTCGCTATTGATCCATTTGCCTCTAAAAACTCCAATCTGTTATCGATCCAAAATATCAACTTGCGCAAAATGACTTCATAAATATATAACCTAATAGATCCGTGGTTGCTCATGGGTTAAGCGCCTGTTGCAAAACAGAAGCAACCTGGGTAAAATCCCCACTGACACCATTGAAATTGTTAATTGCAATTTTAAGTGCTGATTTACTATGTGTTCGGCGATAAAGGAAAACATCGTGATGAAACATTCATGTATGAGAAATTAAAAAAATATATTTCAAAGGCATCTGAAGTACCACCACCACATATTGAGACAGCGTGAGGGACACTTCCTTGCCATTTACTCTTTTCACAAATGTGAGGAGCCTCAGCAGTGGGACGTATAAAGGCTGAACTTTAATACTACATATAACCAAATTGTTTAACTACTAAGACATAACTTTGCTTATAATATTAACATTGTGTAGCACTAAATTTATACATATTCAATTATGCATAACCAAAAAATTACGACCCTCTTAAATAATCAGTACGCACTCTCCTCCTACCTATTTCCTTCTGTTAGCGTCACCATGGCGGTTGCGTCACTTATACATTATTGAAGAATAAATTAACATGTTATTGTGTATCTAAATTTGAATAGGGTTTTATCCTGTAGGTTCAAGCAGTAAAGATTAGGGTAAAAGGGGGTAATGGGAGTCACTTAAGCGAGAATTAAATAAAAGCTCATTTCACAATAAAGTCTTATTGAAACAATAACATAACAAAATTAACTTATTTAGCTATCAATTGAGATCAGTTTTAATCACTTTGGAAATAGTAACAGTTGAAAAAATAACAGATTTGCATTGAGGTGAGGGCAATGGTAGTCACCCTGTGGGTAATCAGAATCAAACAAAATTTAACACATATCACACACATAACCTTCGGGTTAGCCCCACTTTCTTTGAGGTTTTTTTTTGTTCTATTGATAAAATATTTAGGTCTACTTTTTTCGATGTGTCAGGAATTGATTAATCTGCTTACTTTGATGTGCTAGGCGTCGAGCTTATATTAATTAGCAGCTGAAGTAGATTCATCATAACCTTGAACCGCAATAGACTATGATTGGAGAATTTCAGCTGCAACAAAGTCTTCTTGTGAAAATAGCTCGGGATTAATTGGAAATGGAATAATCATGTTGATCAATTAGCTGCACAGCTTTTTCCAAACTATTCGTAGACCAGGAAGTCTTTTTGGTAATTCTGACCCGTACTTTCGACATCTACAAGAAAACAGAAAAGCAGTTTATAACATGTAGGAAATTAAGTCCATAGGCACATTATACTACTTTACTTTGCCGGTAATGACTGATGACACCAACTCCCATTTCCCGCAACTACACTAATGAGTAAAAAGTAAAAAAAATATATTATGGTAATCATCACTATTTTGAATGTCAGACTAATTACACATAAAAGTCTCATTCAGATACATTATGGAATTCAAGACTTACCATTTGTTTTCTTTGGTTGAAATTTATATCGGCGAGACGCAAAAACCTAACGCAATTATTACTCCGAAATGCGCGGCGGTCAATGGTAGGAGTCGATTGAAACAATGGTGGAGGGCACGGAGCAGGACGTAGATGTCATTTACGTGACTTGTGGATATTTAGTTTTGCTTATATGCATTTTGCATTTTGCGTAGGTGACCGCCATTACCCACTGACTCCCATTACCTGCTCTTCTCCTACTCTATAAGTTTTTCTACAAAGTATACACAATTTAAGCCTATTACAGACGTTGGTTATTTTTTTTACATTGGGAAATGCTTTTATATACTCGCCTTGCGGGGCCAAAGACGGGTAATGTTGGATTCGCACCGACTAAAATCTCATAGTGTTTCACATACGCCACATACTGGCAGGGCCACGGAAACGATTGCGTACACATTCGTGGCCCCACCGGCGCAGTTAACCACCCCATGGCAACCCTCCCTCGCTCGGGAGAGGACAACTCGAGAGACATGGCGCCAAGCAAGTCGAGCGCTCATAAGCACCAGTCACTCTGACCCCGGCAGCGGTTCTGGTCTAGATGGCTGCCATCATCCTATAGCCGCTATCCCTACCTTCCGAAGCGGACTGCTGAGGAGGGTAGTGATAGCGGCGCTTCGTAATACCGACACTCTTCTCCCACCACGCGATTCCACTACAGCTGCGACGGAAAAAGGGGGGAGGACAACCCTCCCACCACAGTCCAACAACGCGAATCCAGAGTGGGCTAGGCAATTCCACTCGCTGGTGCCCTCCACCCGGGTCGGCAAGTGGGTCCCTCTTTGTTCACCGTGGGTGAGCCATGGTTACTAAGACCCTTCGTCACGATAAGACGGGAACCCGTTTTGGCGGGACAAACTTTGGCCTATTCAAATTAAGTTTGAATTTACACTTACAGTTTTGATAAAGTACACGTATGTATTTTATTGGAACAGGTGTGCGCTATCTATATTAAAATAATTTAAACTCAAGATGCTATCCAAATATATCTTACTAACTTCCATATTAGGTGTTGAAGGCGAGACGTAAAATTGTTTAATTTAAATGTCAAAAGAGAAATTAAACTTTTTATATTTATTACACGTTTTAAGATTTTTTTTTAAATTTAAACAGTATTGTAATTTTTACTTTAGTTTAGACAAACCAACTATCATAAACATCACTACGTAAAGTTCACAGCTGTACATAAGCCTCTTTCATAGACAGTCACAAGGAACAGTTGTCAGCAACCTGCATCCATCGACTCCCTGCATGTTTCATCAGGTCTGGTGCCTCGTGGCCCAACTATACGCTTGCCAGTACGGGGCAGTTTAGTTCGTCGGGCTGGCCTATTGGCAGTCTACAACCTACTGAGTGGCTGAGCTATATTAGTTTCTCTTGTTACGGATTTTCTCCGAGCACAGCCTCTTTATAGTAGTTAAGTGACCAGTAGCTTACTCCTTATCCCTGACCACTGAACGCAATATATCAAAACTTAAGAATATAGGTGCATTATAAAAATTAAGAAATAAGACTGATCGCCGGATAGTAGAGTTCTTGACTTGATTCGTCTTTCCAGAAACAACATTCATTCATGCTGTTTATAAATGAGAAACAATATCTTTAAAATGTCTTACAGTCAAAGTGGTTTTTATTTTTAGTCTCTAAAAATGATTACTATGCTATAAAAACATTACAAGTTTTAATGCTTGCACACAAAATGCATAAGCGCGACGCGAGCAAGTTTCACAACACTTATGTGCTACTTAGTACTTACATCAAGCGTCAGCATATGGTGTGCTCCGATCTTCGTAACGAGTTTATCTATAAAGATAATTAGAGTTTTTTATTTACAATGATTAATTACAATAATAAATCGATAATTTTAGTAAATATTTCACTCTATTTATCGAGTTTAATTATATAGCATAAAATTTGTATTAAATCTTGACAGCGTAAAAGTTTTTAGAGCAAAATACCATGATAATTCATAATTGAATATTACTTGTTGTTTCTAACAATACTATCAACTTCTCAGTGTATATAATATAAGGCAGTTTTATTTGTCAGTAGAATTGTGGAAGTTGGTTTAAGCCTATTTCTATCGTTAAGTGTTGCACCTATTTTAATTTATTATAAGCCAGTTTAAATCGTACTCTTCTAGCGTAATTAAAGCCTATAGAATATAACCTTACCTGGAAGACAATCACGCTACAATCATCAATCATTACAGCTTATCAATAGTTCGCTGCTGAACATAAACTTTCCGCGTAGATTACCTCGTTGGGGGGGGGGGTGCGGAGGTATATTTACTATAGGTGCCATGTTTAGTAGGCGGGTTGCAACCGAAGTTATTCTATGACTTTGAATTTTCAGATACTGCTGCCAATACCTTGTTTCATTTCTGTTGCCTACATAACACTAATGGATTGGTTTAAGGCCACCATCTCACATCTTCCCGTAGGAGGATATTTTTTACAACCACAAAGAGGACTTATCGTTCGATAAGTTATTCTTACATTGCCTTACACCTATAAAAAAGAGAACTATGATTTTTTGGTATTGCTAGGATATGAACCTATTAAATGTTAATGCTAATTCCGGATCCATAACTATTAGAGTACATGTTTTAGAAATTCTATTTTCTAATAAAATATAGAAATATCGCTCTTGGCTCTCGAGTAAAACATAACGTTATATTTTCTTGTTTTCAGCGTAAGCCAACTGTACAGAACGGCGAGGCTGAGCTACACATCTGTGATCCACCGCTCCACTTCATACCTGATCGGGCTAAGCCTCGGGCTGGCTCTCAAGAACAATACGTATCACAGCAGAGTACGTAGTTCTGTTTCATTCGAACTATAAACAGGATCACTGATATTTACTGTTGACTAAACAAACACTTCGATAAATTGTTTCGTTGAAAAATTGTATAGCAAGTTTTGTACGTTTATTAGAATCGATATAATAATTCTATTTAATACGTTTTGTACATTCTGAGTTAGTCTGTGGAAGTTTAGGTGTATTCATGTGCGCGAGCAATCTGGATTCGATCCCCGTCGCCATCAATAAAATTGTGAATTGCAATTTTAAGTGCAGATTTACTGCGGCAATGAAAAATATCGTGACGTTGAACTTGTTTGTTTGAAGAATTAAAATATTTTGAAGACAAATTTAAAAATTCAAAGTCACTTACATTGTATTTTATTGGAGCAGTGTGAAGCCTTTTTTTATAAAATAAAGGTGACCAACGAGCACACAGTCCATCTAGTGGTAAGTGTATGCTGTGGCCCATAGATATCTACATTTCTTCGTTTTTAATTAAAGTAAGAATTTATTTTGGGTGGATGGTAATTTATTAATGTGTTTGTCAAAATCCAGTAAAATAAAAATAAAAAAAGTCCCAAAGATATGTCGTTAAGGTTATTTACCAATTACAATCTTTAGAATATTGTTGTAAGTTATAAGCTGCGAAGGATATTTAAAAAATGGACTGGAATGGTATTCAATCGCTTAGCTGCGGTGCTTCGGACTTCGCGGGTTCGAATCCTGAACGATACAAGTGTTCGTACGGCCTACAAATAATTGATCTGGGCCTGGTCGTTTACTCAAATGCAATTTATTTATGTAATACGTCTCAACGATAAAAGGAAACATTTTAATTTTGGGGTGACATTAAAAAAATTTAAATGAAAAAGAAATAAAGAAAATGTTTAACACTTTCACTGTGCGGTTTGCAAACACAATAATCAGACAGTGACCTGTAATATGAAGCAGTCATTAGTATATATTATATTATAGTTGTAGCATGAATGGGTCGGCTCGACCGGAGAAGGACCACGCTCTCACAGAATACCAGCGTAAAATAGTAGCTTAATGCTACTGTGTTTCATATGGTGATTGTAGAGAACCGGAGACCATTTTTGCTGGAAACGAGGCATTCCATCTTAGTCCTCACGGGTGACAATGTATCTGCATTTTGATTTGTAATCGATGATAGATGGAGGTGTCTATGGGCCACAGCAACCACTTACCATCAGGTGGACTGTGTGCTCGTTTTTCACACTATCCTATAAAAAATTGTACTGTCGTGTATTGTGCGCTGTCATGGGACAGCGAAAGGGGTAAAGTGCGTGGCATATCGTACTATAATCTATAAAACGACTATGACGAAACTTTATATTCGCTTATTATGTACTGTTTTTGTAGGTAAATGGCATATTAAAATTATTTACGTAAATTTTAAGTGAGGTGTTAAGAGGAACTAGATACTAGTAAGATGTGTTTTTAATATCATCTTAATCCTGTAGAGTCGAATGACGTATGCACTAATGTATTCTCAGAAAACCAACAGATAAGCGAATGTAGGCAAGTTGCCAAGCTTGTTGTTGAAATATTGGAACGATACGTTAAAGGCGGTTCTAAAAGATGAGATGGTGAAACAATATCCATTCCTTCTTTATCTGTTATCGTTAACCGTTACAGACTACTAAAGACCATTGCTGAATCTTCTCCCACATAGATTGCCTTATAAGGGGGATATTTGCCATAGTTGCCACGCTGGTCAAGCGGGTTGGCAGTCGCATTTTTTTATTTTTAGTCGGTATTGGGAAGCCGCTACTGCCGATGTCCTGTTTTGTTTTCCCCCGTCGCCTCTTACGACACCCATAGGATGATATGGGGTAGAGGATATTCTTAAACCGCCACTACACGATAAAATTATCATCTTTCATCCTTCTTTATCAGCTTATAAAATCCACTGCTGAACATGGGCATCTCGCTTTGAAGGAATAATATGTCTTTATCATTATGCTGGACAGGTGGTTTGACAATTGCATTCTCTGACGTTTCGCACCATTGACGCCGCTGTCTTCCTCCGGTCTGTGAGGAGACGGTCGTACTGCCGCCTATTTTTACAAATTCAATTTTTTTTAGCATTTTTCATATTCACCTTGTACTATAACCAGGTGTCAAAATGGATATCGTACGGTACCATGGAATGGTTAAGCAATATGTATATTATTTGCTTAAAATATAATATTCGTTTGGCATGCCTTCACTATCGATCTTCCATTTAACTTATTGTAGAATCGAGTTTTGGGTTAAAAAAAACCCAGAAATGTTTTTTAATAAAAAAAGGTATTAATTATATAATTAAGCGTCGAGTGAAATTGGTTTGAAGACGATGTTCCAATGAAGGAATAAACAACAAGCGGCTATCCTTTTAAAACAATACTTAACAAGTCCTTATGACGCTAGCAATCTCAGAACGTAATAGGCTGAACACAGGCTGTCTCTCATTTCGTATAGTATTTTAATTTGAGCAATTATTTCACAATTGCATGTTAGCGAACATAACATGTCTTCGAAATATTATTTACCGTGGGTTTGCACTGACGCGACTTTTCACAAAAAAAAAAATGTTTTAAACACTATTTTCTGTCAATGTATTGTTACGAGCTTGAGGTTCGTGACAATAAAATTGCCGATAGAATTACCAAAATTAACTCTTTAATTCACTTTACGCAAATTAAAACTTAGAAGACACTAATAATTAATCACACTGATCAATTATTAGTGTCACTCACTTATCACTTTATTTCGCTCCGAAGCTTCGCTTGTCTCGCCAAATTCAATACTTCCTCGATCGCATATTGCAGCGCCTATAAATACACATTAGCACCGAAACATCCAGAATATTCAAGTAAATACGCGCACCAATCGACAAGGCGCCGAAGGTTCGAGTGTCGGCTTCTAGAAGCTTAGTTCTTCGTTTCGATACTAAATGGCGCTGTCGGTTGAAAGATTAGTGATGTCATTTTCTGGAAAGCTCCCCTCGCTCTCGTCCCTGACACTAGATGGCGTTAGTGCCGTGTACATGACGTCAACATAGGCGCGCAACAGTATCAAAAAGCGTTTGCATAGTCAAAGAACATGTTGGGAAATATGTTTGACAGTTTATTGTACATTACATATTTTAACTATATTATATCTTTATAACTACAGAAACATATCGTTTGAAAACAAATTTGTAGAAATATTGTCATGTTGAAAGATAAGTTTGAATATGTGTTGAAAATTTTACACAGTTTTCTTGAGTGAACGCCACCATCAACAAAACATGTTGTGTGATTTATTTTTTGCGATTTGTTTCAAAACATTACCTGTTGGACGTTTCTCAGTGCAAACGTACTGTTAGACCGTAGCTCAGAAGCTAAGCGCTCGCCGTGAATTTCATAGTACGCGAGCAATGTGAAAGATGTTTTTACAACTATACGCATCGATCACTAATAAAAAACTATACAAGTATATTTGCTGAACAACTGTTTTTCACGACGGGGAAGGAGAAGGTTCTTAATTTCACTTTGCATTTTTTATGTATTTTACGCGATATGTACGTTACGCGATGTCTTCAGCGATTGTTATTCGATTTTAATAAATCTTTTATATTTTTAATAAAAAGCTAGTATTTGAAAGATAATAAGATACCTAAATATATATTCCTAGCTATAATAGACTATACTTCGTAGGTTTGTGGGAACTTTGGAGTTTCACTTTTTAGACGAAAAAAGTATGAAATAGTAAAACTCTAAAAAAGAAAACACCGACCTAATTAAAAATAAAATAATTTCTCTATTCGATGGCTTTAAAAATTCAGATTAATTTCATCGAAACACTTTGTCTTAGCATTGACGTCAAAAGTTATTAGGTTGTGCGTAAAAAATTAATATATAAGTGTTTTTTGCAGATGTTAATGACGTTTGGCTGGTTCGTCAGCGGCATTCTATGGTTTCTGGTATTATGGGCTGGCTTTGATTCTGGTACACATCAGTATCGATACAGTGTAACATTTGCTGCCCAATACGCCGCGTTGGCACCGATTTCGTCGGCTTTGGCAATCGCATGGTTAATATATGCAGTGCACAGCGGTCATTGTGGTGAGTATATAGAAACTAATTGGAGCTAAATTTGGTTAGTAGATTCACGGAAACTATTTATTCTGAAAATACGCCGTGGTTTCGTTCAATTGCTTCAAAATGACTAGTAAATTTTACGATTTACTAGTTTTTTTCTTTGTAATGAGTATACTATGCAATATGTGACAAAACTCTTTACGAAGAGACCTGTAGCGAAACTAGAGTTACACATAGGATGTCACATACTAAATCCCCTGAGTCATGGGTCCTGCAAAGCACCCAAAATGTCAGAAATTAAAAATAAGTAAAATTAATGTGATGAAATCTGTAGAAAATGCTTTTATTCAATCATAAGCTTTCAGAGACAAGTTTTTGGTAGAAAAGTTAAAATCATGAATTTAGAAAACATAGGTCAGAAAATATGAACGCTTGTTAAATGTGATAAAAACTATTTTATAGTCATTTGAATTATGTTTCAAATACACATTACATGGTAGATCCATGCTGCAGCTATTTTAGTTGTAAAGTTGTAGCACGAATGGGTCGGCTCGACCGCGGTAGGACCACGCTCTCACAGAATACCAGCGTAAAATAGTTGCTCAATGCTGCTGTGTTTGTTATGGTGAGTGTAGAGAACTGGAGACCATTTTTACTGGAAACGAGGCATTCCATCTTATTCCTCACGGGTGACAATGAATCTGCATTTTGATTCGTAATTGAGGATAGATGTAGATGTCCATGGGCTGCAGCAATCTCTTACCATCAGGTGGACTTTTTTCACGTTTGTCACCCTATCCTATAAAAAATACACAATACACATTAGTCGTCATTGCACAATACTATAAATGACGAAGGTGTATTTTTGTAAAAGAATTATAATTTTTACGTTTTTTAGCATTATTTATTACCACACTGTCTACTAATATATTTTATACAATTCGGCATGCTGTATACCTGATTTATTAGGCGAATGGTGAATTAGGCGAGATTTTTTCGTCTCATGTATCGTTCGAGCTGGGTACAATTTTGCTCGATAGGGTTAAGCTTAGGACTAATGACAGGCTGTCATTAGTCCTAAGCTTAATGACAGGTGAGTCGTTCCATTTAGTTCTCAAAGGTGACAACGCATTCGTAGCCTTCATTTTTAAAGTTGCCTACAGGTTTCTATGTACTGCAGTAACTACCTACCATCTTAACTTGAAGTTCGTTTATTACCTATATTTTATAAATTAACACTTGAATTATCTAGCGCCTAGATTCAAGTATATATTTGTGATAATGTAAATAAAATTTGGTTTTATATGTCATTACAACTGAGTAAATCAACTTTTGACGCAAAGAAATGCTAAAATTATTTGCCGTTATTGATCGGCTAATAATTTTAGCATATCTTATTATTTATTACGAAATAGACTCCAAGCAGTTATCATTTAATAGAACAGAATAAAATAGAATATTTTTTACTCATTATCATCATTGCAGCCCTTTACAAGTACACTGCTGAGCATAAGCCCCTCAAAGGAAAACCACAAAGCAGTTATTGTGACATTCAATATATTACATTATGGAAAATTCGTATTGGGAGTCACTTTTTAGTTAAACTGGCTATGTTTATTGCTAATACTGGTTCGAAAAAAAACCTCCATCCTGGGAAAAACCCGCCAAAACCCACCTTTTTGCGTGAAGGTCTTTGCTTAAAGTTCAAATTTAAGTTTTGTTTTAATTTGCTTGCAAAAAAGAATTGGCGTATATGTGTGCGCAAACTCATTTGGGATGTTCTAACTGTGGGATATTTTTCATAATAAACTCTAAGCTGTTTTTTTTAAGTCGCAATAAAGCAAAAGTCTGTACTCTTTTGCGATATGACTTAAAATTTGTGCTTCAATATTACCCTTTAATTTGAAATTAGTTTGGATGGTTGACATTATCCTTAACAAATTACCAGGTTATCTTATTTTAATTTGCGATTTTTAGTAATATCTTAACACTTGTTTGACAACATTTTTAGTATTGACAATGTAAATTTTAGAATATATCAACTACTGGCTAAGGTATACTATACCAAATTATAAAATAATGATAATTGTCTCGATATTTACAGATTTCCTACAAAAAATTCTATGTAGCCGTCCGTTAACTCTTATAAGTCGTCTTTCTTATGCCCTTTACCTTTGTCAGTTCATCGTGTTTCTGACAAATGCGGCTACAATTAAGACATCTAGTGAATTTAGCTTAATATCACTGGTGAGTGTAAAGTATAAGTATATATGATTAGAATATATCTTTACAAATAATAATTATAACTGTTAATTTTTATTAAACAATTAGGTTAGACAATATTACTGACGAATCTGAATTTGCTTTATACATTTATAAAATATACTTTACTAAATTATGGGTTAATTAGTATACAGTTTTCAGAAATAATAAAAGTAATTTAACTTTTTAATTTCAGATCAATATCCAAGAAATATCGCTCATATTTCTATCATCAATTTTGCTGACATTGACATTTGTTATTCCCATGCAATCTCTACCTAAGATCCTTTTTTTGATTACGAATTATAAAAGCGACATAAACAATAAGTTTGGCTCATATTTGAAAAAATCTCAAGACAAACCCGAGTTTCCTCCAACGGTTCGAAACAAACAAACCCTAATAGCTCACAGAGAAGTCTTAGAAGAAATACCAGAAGTAGAAATAGAATATGAAAACAGAAGAGAATCAACTGATGGATTAGATGAAATCTTAGAAGAGGAAGAAGATGATGAAGAAGCTATTGTTGAAGGTCAGAATCGCTTAGACGAAGAAGACTTAGAAATAATAGAAGAAGAAGGACAGGGTATAAATGAAGATTTTTGGATAAATAGACAAGACAATGCTCAACGAAGAGCTTATTCTAGAAATAGTGATAGGGATCTTGATGACTGGGAAGTAACCGGAAACGGAAATGATCAAGATGGTGCTCAAAATTATCGATACTCCTGAGAACGATGATTGTTAATAAAACTTAATTTGATGTGTATAAATATTTAATATAATTACATTTTTCTTAAAAAAATACCCACACCATATACACAAATACTCACATTGATAAGGCAAAAGTAAATTCTGTAAGTTCTAGGGTAGTGAAAGTTTGGATAGTCTAAATTAATTTTCAAAGCTATCATTATAAAGTCCGAACCCAGAATTTAAAATTATTATTCGAGTTGAGAGTGGTAAATTCGTATTTTTATGAACTTGCACATACTTTATTGTAAGAAATAACATTCTCTTACCGAAGCTAATCAAAATTTCAAAATAATTATAATGTTTTACTGCGTGGTGAAGTTATGCTGCAGCCAATTTTATTGCTGCTTCACGAATGGTTCGGCTTGATTTGGTTAACTTGAAATAACAACAATATGCTGCTCTTTTTTTCAATTGTGAGTAACGAGAAATGGAGGTCCTTTTTACCGGTGATAGTATATTCCATTTTAGACCTTGTTACACAATGGACTACGTAAGGTGGAAATTTACGTTCGTTTATGATCATTATAGAAACATACATTCATATCAAACATATAGTTATATTTCTATTTTTGTTTTTATATAATAGTGGGCTTAAGGGTTATTTTAGGTTAGATAAACGTGAATCACGAATTTAAGTAACGACTAAACGTGTAGTTGCAATTAAAATAAACATATTACACAATAAAAATAAATACATTTTAATATTCAAATTTACGAGTAATTCTATTGCCTAATGATTGTAAAGATGATATCATATAAGTAATACTTTATGATTTCGACGGTGGCAAAAAACATCTATCGACAATTAACTTTCTTTGTTGTTCGTGATGCTTACAGCGTTGCAAAGCAAGAGCGACTAGACAATAATGCTGATTAAGTGATATTTACTATACGGAGCTAAATCATCACTTGTGATTAGGTGGGTATTGTAGTCTAGCTAAATCTAAAAAGCATGAAGGTGTAAATAAAAAGCTTAAAATTTCCCCAGCTGCTCTCCATTGAGGGTGGGTATACTTACTACACTACCCTTAATACGTTTGATAGTTGTTGAAGATGTGAGCGTGGCCAAATCCGACACGGGACTGAATTTTTTATACTGATATATAATAATGTTTACTAACACTTCTAACAAATTTTTATACTACAGTGAGTTTATTGTTGCTATTGCTGATATTGGATGTCTAGACCTATGGCTTTTTGTAGCAAATAACTGCTATGAATTGATAAGAATAACTAGCGAATTCCCATCAATGCGACCAGTCTGAACGCAGGAGCGCGGGAAAGGATTATAGTACATGATGTGTGTGAATGTGCGAACACATATGGATAAGACGGAAATCTGACACGGTTAGAGAGAGGCGCAAGGCCAAAGGCTGGACGTGCTTTCCGTGTCACGTAGGTTGAAATACCACAACTTTCTTACTCCGAGTTGCTACTGAGAATTTTTTGACAGTAAAGTTACAGCCTATATACGTCACACTGCTGGGCATAGACCTCCTCTCATTTCTAAGAGGGTTTTAGGGCAAGGAAGTGTCCGCCGCATTGCCTCAATGCGTGTTAGCGAGCTTCACATGTCTTCGAAATATTTTTTTCCTTATTCCTCAGACAAGCAGTTTTCCTCACGACGTTTTCCTTCACTGCCAAGCACGTGGTAAATCAGCACTTAAAATTGAAATTAAGAATTTCATTGGTGCCGACGGGGATCGAACCCGGGTTATATTTACAGCGAGCGTTAACCATCTGAGATACCAGTATAGTTATTGATAATAACATTACTACAGCAAAATAATAAACCTTAAAATAAACAGACGACAAAATAAACTTGTTTCGACCAATTAGCTATATAAACATTTACGTAAAGTATTGCGGCTGCAGAGAAAACTATTTAAAAAAAAACTTAGTGCTTTTGGTAATTTGTTGTTTAAATATTAGATTTCACTTAATGTCTGGTCACTTAATGATATGGTTTACTAATATATCTGATACCGTAGGTTTATTCATGGTTTTACATTACAACGATGTATACACGTCTCAACTCATCAATAAAACTGAACCAACAATTTCTCTTTGCACAAACGTTTCTCTATAACTAGAATTCGAATCATGAACACTATGTCTTGTTACTTTGACCAATAGTCCAGGGTCGTCACTAATATAATAAATATGTCATAACATAGAAAAGTAAATGGTTATGGCAAAATTTTTGACGAGGATTGTTAATCCTATTTACTGGCAACGAAGTATTCCATTGTTATTCTCTATGGTAGCAATACGTTTTAATTTTGGTTCTTGTTATAGAACAAAAATGTAGGTGTTTATGGACCACAGAATTCGTTTACCATCAGGTGGAATGTGTCCTTACTTGACACGCCTACTTTATTAGAAGAGTAACGTCTACTAGTTTCTCAAAAGCATCAGCAAAACTATTTCAATATCTGTTACATACACCTAAAATAATGTGAAATAGTCATGTGGGTTATCATTCGAGGAGCAAGACGTTTGTATTACGAGCACTAACGGTAACAGGGAACTGTAAAATTATAGATAGTTTCTAGAAATGTATAGATAATAAATAAAAAGTAAAAACTTTATTTTTATGTAAAAACAAAACATAAATAAAAGGTGCAATTCTGCACAAGAGAGGCATATGTTCATTAGTGTATAATAAAAATAAAAACACATATGTATATATGTGTTTTTTTGTACTGTATGATATTTTTGATGAACTAAATAGGTATATCTCATTAGGACTTTTTTTTAATAAAATAGGATGACAAACTAGCACACAGTCCACCTGATGGTAAGTGGTTGCTTTGGCCCATAGACATCTTCATCTTTCCTCGATTACGAATCAAAATGCAGATGCGTTGCCACCACCACGTGACGACTAAGATGGAATGCCTCGTTTCCAGTAAAAATGGCCTCCGGTTCTCTACATTCACCATACGAAACCCAGCAGCAATAGGCTACTATTTTACGCTGGTATACCGTGAGAGCGTGGTCCTTCCCCGGTCGAGCCGACCCATTCGTGCAACAGCTATACTACTAATATAACTGCGGCATGGCTCTACCACGTATACAACTGGCTTAAACGTGACATAGCCACGCTACAGCTATATTATGGTTGTAGCACGATGGATCGGCTCGACATGGGTAGGATAACGCTCTCACATTATACCAGAACAATAAAGCAGCTTAGTGCTGCTAATTTAAGGAGGCCTAATATTTCAATTTTTTTATAGAATAAGGGTGACAAACGAGCACACAATCCATTTGATGGTAATTGGATACTGGGGCCCACAGATATTTACATTTATCCTCAATTAACAATGAAAATTCAGTTGCGTTGCCACGCCTGAGTACTGAGATCGTATGCCTCCTTTCCAGTAAAAAGAGTCTTTGGTTATCTACACTCACCATACGATACACAGGATTAAGGTGCTATTTTACGCTGGTCATCTGTGAGAGCGTAGTCCCCAGTCGAGCCGACCCGTTCGTGCTATAACCATAATATAACTGCAGCGATAGTAGTTCGTAAAAGAATTATAATTAATGTACATAATTTTTGTATATAAAAGTTAAGTGTCACATTGTTCGACCGTGATGAACTCCTCAACTACTAAACTGATTTTAATCAAATTTTGGGCACTGCACTATGTGCATTTTGGTCCAACTTGAGAGATAGAATAGTTTATATTGCTATCAGTGACCCTGAAATTTTTTTATTGTGAATTTAAGGACTTTTTATAGGACACAGGGTCGTCGGAAAGTACAGAACAACGTCTGCCTGGCCAGCTGATATTTTAAAATTTTGTAATTAAACTTCAATTAAAATAATGAGTATGTAACATAAAATATATTTCATAACTTTATTTATGTTAATGCTGTCTAGTTTTTATGTATTCTATAAAACCAATGTTGCTTTAAGATGAGTTTTAAGCTATTAAGGTGTTTTCGTTTGATGACGGAAATAGATAATATTTTTTTATATATCGGTATATCTAAAGACTAAAATGCTTATTAATTAGAATTTATCATAACAACCACGATAAACAATGAAGAAATTTCAATAGCAAAGTGGTTCGACGGATATTCAGACTGCATATTGAGTCACTTTGTTTCATTGATCGTTCTTCGTAGACTTGCGCGCCTAACCTCAGTTAGTGTTGAAGACCGTCGCACGCGCACGTTTAGGTCCGCCATGATCTCGATAGGGGTCCTACTTACGATTGTGTGCGCGATTACCGCTAATAAAATAACAGAAACAAAACTTTCCGAACAAATTTTGCGACGTCTCAACCCATTAGCAGACATCCCAATCAAAACACCCGAACCAATAACAACTGGATTAATAAACAAGACGTTAGATAGTTTAGGTATCAATAAAGATGCAGTGGCAAAACTGTCTGAGAAAGTTAAAAGTGCTAGCAGTCAAGCAGCAAAAATCGCTGAGGACTTTTCCTACATCACGCGTATGGATAATACGGGGAATCAGCCAGGTCCAATACTAAAGTCGGTCGAGGAGTCACCAGATTATGCATCATCGGTCGTGCTTGCGAGTGATTTGTTATCGCTTACGAGTGCCATAGCGAATGTTAAGGAGAAATCATGTAGGGAACAAGGACACAAGTTTCTGGAAGGACTGTTGCAGAACAAGAGGTGGGCTCTCAAAAGTAAGTGAAAAATTTTACTTTAAATTTGAGTAAGTAAAAATCTAAATACTCTTGTATGCTTTTTTGATAAGCCACTTAGACTAAATCCCATTAAAAACCACGACATTAAAAATAGTACTGATGATTAAAAAAGCAGTACACCGTAAAAATCACTGTTGGACCATCCTATTGTAAAAATATTTTAATAATAATATAATAAATATTTCTAAATGTTAATATTTTTTTGCTTTATATATACAATATGTAACGTAATTAACGCACACCCTCAGACACCCCAATTAGTATATTATGTTATAATCATAACACATACACTGAATTTTTTGTGAAACACTTTTATGCACTGATTATTTATCAAATTAGTTATACTAATTCCGGGAGAATGTTGTGGTCACAGTACAAATCCACGAACGCAAAGACTTTAACGTGCTTGAAATAAAGTTAATTTTTCTTTAGTTTTCTTGAGTTACAGAATTAGTAATATATAATACAAATAAAACTGCACTCTTAAAAGTCATATATCATGATAACAGGTACAGTATAGATACTATCGTTTATATCCTTACGTGTGTAACACACACACACACACACACACACACACACACACACACACACACACTTTTTTTTTTTATATATATATATATATATATATATATATATAATACTTTTATTGCAGCTAACTGATCTAAGAATCCTTTGGAACACCTTACTGAAATAATTGACCGATCATAATTGCCATGCTTTGCTGGCAGATTGTTTCTCCCGGTACCAGACGCTTTGTTGTTGCTCTCCGCTGGTCTGGATATTTTATGTCCAGCGTTAACGGTATGATTATACTGCCATCTGTTTTCACCGTAGTGTACAAAAATTTATCTGTACAGATCGAAGTCGAACGTAATAAAAAAAATTCCTCAATATTTACGTTAAATATGATAATTATTACGTTCGATCTGTTTATACACGTACTTCTTGTTTTCTATTAATATATTACATAACCGATTGTTACTGTTTGCTTAGGTGATTATCTAAGCACAACGTTACTGAGCCAAGTAGAGGAAATGGCCGATTCATTTCTATTCGTTACAGAGTTATAAAAAAAACACAGGAATTTCAATGACCTGCTTTTAAAGAGTAGTTCATTTTAATTACTATACAAAAAGTCGATTACGTTGGCATTTATAGATATTTTTGATTCCGTAGGAGATTCCGTATTTAGTCAACTTGTGAGTTGAAATACTATATATGTGTAATATATATTCATAATTTTATAGATTACAATTCTTTTAAGGTGATCTTTCACGTTCATTTTCTTTGCGTAATAACGCGACTAAATGTCCATTTAAGATGGTACATTTATTTATTACTAGCTTGCCAGGCAGACGTTATTGTGCCTTTTTCGACTACCCTTTGTCATATCCTATTAAAAATCCTTAAATTCGCAAAAAATGTGGATCACTCATTGGAAAAAAAAAACTATCCTATCTCTCAAGTTGGAGCAAACTGCAAACGGTGTGCAAATGTCATTAAAATTGGTTAAGCAGTTTAGGAGTCCATCGCGGACAAATAACGTGATACGTAATTTATATTATTTTATATATATTAAGATTATAATTAGTAAAATAATATAATAAAATTATATATATATATATATATATATATATATATTAAGATTAATACTTTCTAATGCATACCATACTTGAGCTACACTCAGCAATGTACTGATTAAAATACACTAGCTAACATCATGGCTTTGTGGGAACGTGCAAAGCTGACAATTCAAGTCACACATAATATATTAAAAACTACATCAAGACATTTATCATTGCGATAGAGTTTCAAAAACAATTTTTTGTAAAAGTATGTTTTAAAAAAATATTTTTGATATGGACGTGACAAAAACTATCCAAATTCCCATCCAAACATAGTGATTATATTATACTCTTTTACTCTTTTTTCTATTGTACGTATATATATATATAACCTCTCTTATTTTTTTATTACTTTTACTCTTTTACTCTCTTACCTTTTAACCGGAGTAAAACTCTTGATAAAAATTATAATACAAAGCAAAACCCTTCTTCAAAAGAAAAAGGTAATTGCTACATTATAGCTTCTCATATCGGGGCATTAATTCGTCGATACGCAAGTATTGAAGTTTTCCTCCAAATTTATGGAACCACTTCCAAAACATTTTCGATAAAAAAATATCTTTTAGATCGGTTCGGCCGTATTTGAGAAATTTGTTTAAATTTGACTAATACTAAATAATGCCGGGAAAATAAAGAGTTTTTATGTTATTGGTGTAAAAAATGTAAATTATTTAACTACGTTTCGTGATATCGTCTGACATTAACAGTATTTTTATGTCAATTGATGTGAACAGGCCTTTCTACGAAATTAATACGCAATAGATACATATCCCTTGTAAAACGAAAATACTGACTGTCACATAATACATCCGAAAAAATTGTCGAAGGTGCATGGTTATTGGCAATATTTGAACATGTTGGTTTATCGTATCTCCATCGCGTAGCGCAGACGTGTATCGCAACCACTAGTTTCCACACAAAATTATAAAAGGAGAACACTTAGTAATTATATACGCTTTTGTGATCTCGTGTCTTGATGATCGTATCGGAGATACGTATCGTGATCGATAATATGGACGTTTGATACTGTACCAAGATACGACGATGCGATACGATATCTGAAACACAGCTCATATCCCTATTCAGTTTTCCTCGATCATTAAAGGGGATACTTTATGCCGCCACACGGCCTAAAAAATTTTGACGCGAAAAATAATACGAGAATCTACGAGAGTCGGAGGAAAATTTCTATCTTCTACATATAAAGAATAATACGATTACGTAATCTAAACGAATATACTTTAAAACCAGAACGACGCACGGACGACGAGCGGCAACCAACGTGCAGAGGTAAGGGGCCGTATACGGGGCCGACAAAATTGAAGGTACTTGCCCAAGTGCCTTCACTTTTGTTTAGGCATGCATGCCAGGCAGGCAGTCATTCGACCGTAGTGGTATGCTTACACTGATAATGCTATTCTCTATCACCAGTTTGAGAGATTTGCAACATTATTAAGTACAGTTTATTGTTGTTATCATGAGTAGAAAGAAAAGTCAAATGCAGTTCCTCGGATAAAATTATGACCATTGTCCATATTAGCCTATAAAAGTTCAATTCTGAACATAGACCTTCCCATTGAATGTCTAACCCGTAATTGATAGGTGGGTTCGTAAGCGAACATTTTTCTGAATTTTCAAGAAAAACTATGAAAATATTTAGAAATAGCATGGTAGCGATCACCTCATTTCTAAGCGTCAATCACGTACTCTTAAGTCCAAAAAAACCTTTTACACAATTTATGTTTTGATAACCATTTTAAATGTTGATAGATCCTGCATATTTTCTGGATTTTAGTTTAAAAGCGTACACATTGCCCCATGAAGCAGAAACTTCGGAGTCGAGAAACTGGTGTAACTAGCTTATGCTAGTGTTTTGATTGATCCATTGTGTAGTGGTTTAGCAATAAGTTGCAGCACTGAGAGCCGCGGGATAGAATCCCGCACGAAACAAAAACTTATATGGCCTATCAATTATTGTTTCGGGTCTGGATGCTTGTACTTGTCAAGTTAATGTATGTAAACTGTCCCTACGATACATGAGAGAATTATAACGTGGGCAACGTTATTTAAAAAAAAATTGTCGCAATAACCCCACAGCAAGTTCTTTATGATATAATGCTATTGAAATAGCTAAAATAAACAAATCTAGCTATGTCAATACATGTAAGGCCTCTTATTATTTTTAAAGCATATGCCGTAGATTTAAGTTTACTTGCTAGCTTAGATATGTTATGGCGGCCTCATTGAAGCTTTGTGTCTTCAGTAAATCAGAGAACAACAATGAATTCAATAAAATTCAGCTACTCCCCATTTAAAAACACGCTGGTATTCACTTGTTCAACATTTTATGTAGTGAATTAAATAAACTTCCTTTTATTAATGTTTAAAAGTATATTATTAATATTAAACTAGTGTATTATTATTTACCGGATAAGGGTGACAAACCAGCACACAGACCACCTGATGGTAAGTGGTTTCTATGGCCCATAGACATCTAATACTTTCCTCGACTACGAATCTAAATGTAGATACATTGTCACCCGTGAGGACTTAGATGTAATACCTCGTTTCCAGTAAAAAGGGTCTCCGGTTCTCTACACTTACGATACGAAATACAGCAGTATTAAACTGCTCTTTTACGCGGGTGTTCTGTGAGAGCGTGGTCCTTCCCCGGTGGAGCTACTAATACTACTAATATAGGTGCAGCACGGCTATACCACGTATACTTTTGATATAGCATTACTTACTTCGTCTTATTTTAACAATTGCCTTTTAAATCTGTCACCACATATTATGGTTATTCCTTTCAAATTAAAGCATGTCATTAATATAAACTTAGACAAAATATCTAAAGTTTAGTTAACCCCTGAGATACCATGGCTCTATTGCATAACTCACTTGTACAATTGCAGTGAGTATGTGTTTACTATTACGCATTACAACAAATTTATGCAAATTTGTTTTGTTTGCTTTTGTTATATTAAAGATCGCAACTCACAAATTTGCTAGTTATGTATATGGTCAGAAAACTATAAGTTAAACACTAAGTTTAGATATACGTGACTATAATGTAAACGTAAAAATACATTCATGCGGAAGTGATATTGACATTTCACTACAATCATATTTGTATACCTAAATTGTTGTAATGTTCACTCAAGAACATAGTGGCATTTTGATAAAAATGTACCACAATTCCTTATTTATAAAATACTTTTTACTAAATCGGATAATAGTTAAAAGCTTTCATTTCCAAAGACAAAACAACACCTATCAATTGGCGATGAGACATAACACTTAAGAATAGACAATTAGATACTAAATACCTGTAACGATTAGTGAAACTGAAAACGG